AGATTTTATTTATTTACTCATGAGACACACACACACACACACACACACACACACAGAGAGAGAGAGAGAGAGAGAGAGAGAGAGAGAGAGAGAGAAGTAGAGACACAGAGGGAGAAGCAGGCCCCGTGCAGGGAGCCTGACCTGGGACTCCATCCCGGGTCTCCAGGATCCCGCCCTGGGCTGAAGGCGGCACTAAATCGCTGAGCCACCGGGGCTGCCCATCATTCCTGTTTAAAGAGATAAGAAACTAAAACACTGAGGTTAAATTATGTGTTTGTAGCCATAGAGTAAATCAGCATCAGGACCCTGATGTGAACTTAGGTATTCCTGTCCCCTGGAGGAGTTTATCTGTATCTAAATCCAAGTTATTACTAAGCTACTATATTTCCCTAATTAAACTATTATTTGTAGTAACCAAGTTGTGTTACCATAAAAGATGACTTGTTATTAGAGAAGGCTGAAATTGTTCAATAGCCAAATGCTGTATTTCCTTTTCATCCATGTGTTGAATTTACTAATTTAAACAACATATGCCTAATTTATTATTATGAGGAGTCAATAAATAATATCTATAGTTGATAAATCAAGAAAAAGGGGTGTAAAGATATTACATACAGTTTTAGTGATAATGAACAGTAGAACTTAAAACAGAAACTATTGATTGATAAAACCTCTGAGTAATGGGTATGGCTATGATGTGGTTGGTGGGGATGGGAGGTGGAGATTTTTAAATTTTATTTATTTATTTATTTATGAGAGAGAAAGTGAGAGAGCAGACAGGCAGAGTCAGAGGTTGAGGGAGAAGCAGACTGGCAGGCAGGGAGCCCAATCGGGGGCTTGATCCCAGGACCTAGGAACATGATTTGAGCTGAAGGCAGACACTTAACCAACTGAGCCAGCCAGGCACCCTTGTTTCTCATTTTAGACACATCTATACAGTGTAAAAAAAAATTTTTTTTTCTTGAGAGAGAAAGTAAGGGGCAGAGAGAGAGAGAGAGAGAGAATCTTAAAACAGACTCCATGCTGAGCTCAGAGCCCATCATGGGGCTTGATTTCACAACCCTGAGATTGTGACCTGAGCCAAAATTACATGCTTAACTGACTGAACCACCCATGTGCATCTATACAGTCTGAATTTTTAAAAATATGGGCAAGTTTTACTTCTATAAATTAAAAAAAAGTTTAAAAATAGAAAAAAGAAACAAAATCTAATAAAAAGTATCCCCTCAATGAGTGATTCCTTAAGTAGTCATATGTAATACTATGTAGCCAATAGAAAAAATGAGTCCACCCATACAAATTTTAGAGGAAAGGCAAATCGCAGAATGATTTGGTTAAGATTCTACCTAACACTATATATAGTGTGTAGGTATATGCACATACCAAACTGGGAGGATACACATCAAAATGATACCAAAGTGTAGGGATGAGAGGTGGGGAAGAGAGAAAGATTTTGATGATTAACTTTCTTTACTTCTACATACAGTTTGATTTTTTTTCGAGGGGCATGTATTGAACATGAACGTGGGTGGACTATTTTGCAGGTTCAAAGCTACAGTGGTTTTGAGTATTCCCTCTTTTTCTTTTTGCCACAGTGTGATTGCACTGTGTTATACATATAAGGGTCAGGATTTTTTAAAAAAGATTTTATTTATTCATGAGAGACACAGAGAAAGAGAGACAGAGACACAGGTAAACGGAGAAGCAGTCTCCTTGCGGGGAGCCCAATGTGGGACTTGATCTCGGGACCCCAGGATCATGCCCTGAGCCAAAGGCAGACACTTAACCACTGAGTCACCCAGGCGTCCTGAGTCAGGATCTTAAAACGGACTTGTCATGAAGAAATTCACTCTTCCTTAATATTGTTCCTTTAAACTGTTACAAAAGGGAAGTTTGTGAATTGAATCATTCCACTCTCAAGAATTAATGTCACCTTAGAGCTGACCAAGTCTGATTCATGTTTCTTTTTTTATTGTTAAATTTCCTTCACTTTTTTTGCTTTTGTTTTTTGACCAAGGGTATATGGAATTTAAATCCCCAAATCCAGTATCTCATGATTGTAACAAGGTATCCACCCTACATTTTGGAGTCCTGGGCTCAGAGTCTTTTTTTTTTTATTTTTATTTATTTATGATAGAGAGAGAGAGAGAGAGAGAGAGAGAGAGAGGCAGAGACATAGGCAGAGGGAGAAGCAGGCTCCATGCACCGGGAGCCTGACGTGGGATTCGATTCCGCGTCTCCAGGATCGCGCCCTGGGCCAAAGGCAGGCGCTAAACTGCTGCGCCACCCAGGGACCCCAGAGTCTTGACTAACCTTGATACTTGATAGAATCCTTTGGGTGAGGAGAAGCCGGGTAAGAGGGAGTGGTGTGTCTGCCAAAGTCTCCAAGGCAGTGTCCACAGAGAAACAGAAGGAAATAGAAGATAAAGTAACTAGTCTAGAGAAAACTGAAGAAGCAAAATTAAAAACAAGGTATTCTCATCTGGGACAAAAACTTGAAAGTTCATATTTCTGAAGGAAACAACTGCAGAAAGGGCAAAAATATTTTGATTCTGGGGATTATAACATGGCCAAAGCAAAAATGAATCAAGATTTTGAGTTCAAGCCCCACATTGGGCATGGAGCCTACTTCAAGAATAAGAAGAAGAAGGAGAAGAGGAAGGAGAAGCATCACCTTCCTACTGCAGTTCTAGATAAGACAGAAGTCACTGGTGACCACATTCCCACTCCACAGGACTGTCCTCAACAGAAACCATGTTTGTCGCTAGCAAGCTGGCTGGCTCATTAAAAGAGCTGAACTGCAGGAATCTTATAAATCTCATGATTTCTCCTTAAATGTTACTTCTCTGCTTTTTATTTCCCTTCATTCACTAAGTCTTTTGAGAATGACAGCTTTGTAGGTAGCAGTACTGTGTGCTATTGCAAGGCAATGTACCTGTGTAGAGGTTGTTTTTTTTTTTTTTAAGATTTTATTTATTTATTCATGAGAGAGAGAGAGAGAGAGAGAGAGGCAGAGACACAGGCAGAAGGAGAAGCAGGCTCCATGCAGGGAGACTGATGCGGGACTCAATCCCGAGACTCCAGGGTCATGCCCTGGGCCAAAGGCGGCCCTAAACTGCTGAGCCACCCAGCCACCCAGGGATCCCGAGGTTTTTTTTGGTTTTGTTTTGTTTTGTTTTTAGTTTTAACAGCACACTGATAAAAGAACACGTTAGAGCAATGTAATCTACTTGAAAATAATTGTATATATTTCCTAACTCCTAGTGTAGGCCTGGTTCAATAAGTAATAAGCAAGGTTTACAATTGTAATGTTTGAGCTTTAAGTCCTCTTAATTATAGCTTTGTATGTTACTCTTGTTTATTTTGTTTTATTTTATTTTATTTATTTTATTTTTTTGAGATTTGAACCAATAATTTTTTTTTAATTTTATTTATTTATTCATGAGAGACACACACACACACACACAGAGAGGCACAGACACAGGGAGAAACAGGCTCCATTCCATGCAGGGAGCCTGACGTGGGACTCGATCCCGGGTCTCCAGGACCACACCCGGGACTGAAGGTGGCACTAAGCCACTGAGCCACCCAGGCTGCCCTGAACCAAGAATTTGGAATCATTTTATGGTCTTTGAACTCATTTTTACCTTCCCAAAGGCAGAAAGCCTTAATATTCCATAAACACAGATGACATCTGATTCAGCAATAATAATAAAAAAAAACAATGACATGCAAGTACAGGGAATAAGTTGGGCAGTCCTAAAGATTATCCATATTTAAGTAACTATTGCAGGATTATTGGAGATCGTGATGATAAGCCCAGTCAAACCATAAAGTTTTTTAAGGTTCCACCAAATCAGTAGTTTAACATTAGGGGTACACAGATAATCTAATATTGTCAGGACTAATTTAGGCAGCGGTTTTGTTCTATGAAAGGATGTAGAACCACTCAGAGCAATTTTTCAAGAACCCAAAGAGACTTTCTCCTAACTATTCTCGTTTTTAAATAATGGTTTAAAAAGTAGAGCACCCCTCTTCAACCAAAAAGTCTAGAGCTCAAGTGGAGCACCAGTTTACAATCTCTGCTTAATGGCATTTTTCTAACATCAGTGTGGTATTCCAAAAGTGACTAAACAAGGATTAAACATTTAAAAACTACCTGTTTTCCTGCCCCAATACAAAGCCCTAGGAACTAAGTCACTACATTTTATGTAGCTAGCAGCATTTCACTATCAACATAAATTTGATTTACTGATATAAATTACTAATGAGAGCCATCTTTTAGTCCATTTCTACTAAAATTCCAGAATAAACTTGGAATATTTCCATATGGTTTTACAAGCTATTACATTTCAAGTATTCTACTTTTACTTAGTCTAAAGAAGACTAGTATTGGTCAATAGCAAATTTATCACGGGAAAATTTTAGTTTTAGATCACAGGTCTGGAGAACTCTTGGGGCTTCACTCTGTATACACTAGTGCTTTTCCTCATGACTAAATGTCACTCATGAAGAAAACCAATTTTACTGCTTATTTAGTAAAGGCAAATAAAAGTACACTTCTTTTTCAATTAAAAGATTACTATGTGACAACAAAGTTTGCCTTTTTAATAACATAGATTACCAACAAGGTCCTGACCTAGTAATCAAAAATCAAAATAAAACCTCAAATCTAAAAGCAAGAAACAGGAAAAAAAGAAAAAAGAAAGAAAGAAAGAAACAGGCACAATCACACACATATTCTGACCAAACAAACTAATCCTGAATATTTCCCAAATAAAAAAGCACAATCATTACATTCCATGTTTCAGCGAAGAGGCATTTGGCGCAGCGGCTTGGCGCCTGCCTTTGGCCCAGGGCGCGATCCTGGGGACCCGGGATCGAGTCCCACATCGGGCTTCCGGTGCATGGAGCCTGCTTCTCCCTCTGCCTGTGTCTCTGCCTCTCTCTCTCTCTGTGACTATCATAAAAAAAAAAAAAAAAAAAAAAGATTCTTGCCATAAGTTTATTTACAAACATGTTGAGTATGTTGAATTCTAGAGTTTGATCCATTTTTCAGAGACTGCACCTCTTAAAATGTTCCTTTTCACATCTGTTTAGTGGATCAATGAAAACATCCTTATTTCTTAAGCAGTTGGTGTCTTACCATAAAAAAAGGTGCAGCAAATCCAGATCCAAAATACAAAGTCATCATAAGTAGTAGCCTCCACTTGTTTTCCACTGAAAATGGCAAATTCTTCCCGGGGCCCCCCTCATAGTGGCTCCTATGGACCACAGAGGTCGTGAACCTCCGGATGCTCTGTCCCAACATAGCGCCGCTGAAGGTCCTGCGAGAGCCGCGGGCCCGGGAGGCGTCAGGAACCGCAGCACCCCGCGCGCTCCCCTCCGCGACCTTGCTGCTCGGCGCGCCGGGGCTGGAAGATGGGAAGCGGGCAGCGACCGCAGAGAACTGGTACTCTTGTTTAATATAACCTCTATTGTATTGATTTCTTTTGTATTTTCTTCTTGGATTTTGTAAAACGATAGTTTAAGACCATAAGTTGGAAGAAAGGTCACATTCTTCAAACAAAAATAGATGAAGCTCTGAAAGATTTGTATCTCTCTGTGCTTGAATTTGAATGGCCTTAAACCTGTTTCAGCTTTAACAATAGAATTTTACTTGGGCAATATTTGCCCATTCTGGTGTAACTTATGTGACTCTAGTGCTTAACAGCTGTCATTGAAGCTAGTATTCTTATTCGGTTCTATAGTATTAGTAAGGTAGTTTTTATTTATTTTTTATTTTTTTTAAAGATTTTATTTATTTATTCATGAGAGACACAGAGAGGGAGAGAGAGAGGCAGAGACACAGGCAGAGGGAGGAGCAGGCTCCATGCAGAGAGCCTGACGTGGGACTTGATTCCGGGTCTCCAGGATCATGCCCTGGGCTGAAGGCGGCGCGAAACTGCTGAGCCACCAGGGCTGCCCGGTTCTATAGTATTAAAATATCTTTTGTTAAAGATGTGAATGAAATGTGCATGTGCATTGACTTCACTTTTGTGCCATTTTTGTAAATACAGTAGTTTTGCACACATACACATAAAATAATCCTCTTGCCATTCAATTTTTTGCACTTTATTTTACTGTGGAAAGAAAGTTAACATATAATTTGCCCTCCTAACAAAATTTTAAGTGTTGATACATTATTGTTGACTATAGGTACAATGCTGTACAGTAGTTCTCTAGAACTCAGTCATCTTTTTTTTTCTTTAAGTAAGTTAAATTGATAAATACCCTAAGATAACAGGAAATGTCTAGTAAAAATAATGAATCCCACACATTTACAGAGGTTTTGCTAAAATGCAAACTGCCAGCAAACTGCCAAATTTGGCATATCCAATCTATTTAGCTAATATGAATGGTAATTTTTCTAACAAAACTAGGTTGGAGGACAACTGATATTTCTATGCTCTTGACAGAGGTGATAAGTGTGGTGTTGTGGCTAAGAAAGGAGAAGATGAGTTGATGCATGTTTTTATCATTCAAATCTTCTGGTTGTTCCTTTTTATCTCCATCAGGAAAATATATAGGGAATGGTAGATTCTTAGATGCCAGTTTAGAATCTCGATAGTTATTGAGCCATTTTTATGTCATGGCACAGAGTCTTTTACATAGATTATATTGTGCTTTGTATCCACACTTACAGTCCATATGCTGCATATCTAATGCTTCCCATTTGTCTAGGCGTTTTTGTTCCAGGCCAGACTGGCAGCATGTACCGTTGAAATAGCTCCAGGTCTCCTATGGGTTTTCATTTAATAATGAGTACCAGGCTGGCCTTCAGATACCCATCTTTTCACGATGCCCTGAAACCTTTACCAGTCGTTTTTACTGTGACATTCACATGCGGTCCTGTGTGGAAGTGAGTGGAATGAAGAGGGATGCCTGGCTTAATTACAGCTTATTGCTGTGGATAGGACTTGGCAGTACCATGTTGAGTGAAAGTGGTGAGAGTGGACATCCTTGTCTTTTTCCTGATCCTGGAGGAAAGCTCTCTGTTCTTTTGTTTTTTTTTTTTTTATTTATTTACGATAGTCATACAGAGAGAGAGAGAGAGAGGCAGAGACACAGGCAGAGGGAGAAGCAGGCTCCATGCACCGGGAGCCTGACGTGGGATTCGATCCCGGGTCTCCAGGATCGCGCCCTGGGCCAAAGGCAGGCGCCAAACCGCTGCGCCACCCAGGGATCCCAAAGCTCTCAGTTCTTTACCATTGCGTATGATGTTAGTTGTTGGTTTTTCATATTTGGCCTTTATTATGTTAATGTATGTTCCCTTTTAACCCTACTTTATTGAGAGTTTTTATCATGAATGGATGTTGTACTTTGCTTTTTTTTTTTTAACAACTGATTTTTCTGCATCTATTGAGATAATCATATGGTTTTCATCCTTTCTTTTGTTAATGTGATATATCACATTGATTGAATTACCAATATTGAACCACCATTATATCCTGGGGTTAATTCCCACTTGATCATGGTGAATGATTTTTTAAAAAATATTTTATTTATTTATTTGAGAGGGAAAACATGAGCAGAGGGGAGGAACAGAGGGAGAGGGACAAGCAGACACCTTGCTGAGTGGGGAGCTTGATGCAGGGCTTGATCTCAGGATCCAGAGACAGATGCTTAACCAATTGAGCCACTCAGGCATCCTGTGAATGATTTTTTAAATGCACTGTTGGATTTGGTTTGCTAATACTTACTTTGTCGAGCATTTTTGCATCTATGTTCATCAGAAATGTTGGCCTATAATTCTGTTTTTTTGTAGTGTCTTTGTCTGGTTTTGGTAATTCAAGGTAATGCTGGTCTCATAGAATGAATTAGGAAGCTTTCCTTTGTCTTCTTATTTTTTGAAAAGAATAGATATTAGCTCTTTTTTTTTTTAAGATTTTACTGATTTACTGGAGAGGGAGAGGGGGAAAAGACAGAGGGAGAGGGAGAAAGTCTTTCCTTTAAGATATATTTATTTATTTATTTATTTATTTATTTATTATTTATTTATTTATTTATTTATTTATTTGAGAGAGAGAGAAGGAGTGGAGGAGAGGCAGAGGGAGGGGGGAGAGAGAAACATAAGCAGACTCCATGCTAAGCATAGATCTCGACGTGGGGCTCGACCTCATAACTCTGAGATCACAACCTGAGCTGAAATCAAGAGTCAGATGTTTAATTGACTGCACCACACGGGCACCCTGGTATTAACTCTTCTTTAAATGTTTGGTAGAAGCCACTTGTGAAGCCATCTGATGCTAGACTTTTGTTTGTTTAGCGTTTTTTGATTACTGATTCAATTTCATTGCTAGTAATTGAATATGTTCACATTTTCTATTTCTTTCTGATTAAGTTTTAGGAAGTCATATGTTTCTAGGAATTTATCTGTTTCTTCTTGGTTGTCCACTTTGTTGGCATATATTTTTTCATATTAACCTCTTATAATCTTTTGTATTTCTGTGGTGTCAGATGTTAGTTCTCCCCTTTCATTTCTGATTTTATTTGAGTCTACTCTTTTTATCTTATTTAGTCTGAGAGTTTGTCAATTTTGTTTATCTTTTCAAAAAATCTACTCAATTTTGTTGATTTTTTTTCTATTTTTATTTATTTATGCTCTAATTTTTGTTGTTTCTAGCCTTGTGCTAACTTTGGACTTAGTCCGTTTTTCTAGTTCTTTGAGGTGTAAAATTAGGTTGTTTATTTGAGATCTTTCTTCTTTTTGAATGTAGACATTTATTGCTGTGAACTTCCCTCTGAGTACTGCTTTTGCTGCATCCCATAAGCTTTGTTATGTTGGGTTTTTATTTTTATTTGTCTTGATTTCTAATTTCTTTTTTGACCCAGTCGTTATTCAAGAGTGTGTTTAATTTCTACCAATTTATGAATTTTCCAGTTTTCGTTTTGTTGTTGATTTCCAGTATGGATATTTTCCATTGTGAGTAGAAAAGATACTTGGTAAGATTTCAGTCTTCTTAATTTGTTAAGACTTGTTTTGTGACCTAACATGATCTCACCTGGAAAAGGATCCACATACCCTTGAGAAGAATATGTATTTTTTGTAAAGATTTTATTTATTTGAGAGAGAGAGAGAGAGAGCATGAGTGGGAGCAGAGGGAGAGGGAGAAGCACACCCCCTCTGAGCAGAGAGCTTAATGTGGGGCTTGATCCCAGGACCCTGAGAACATGACCCAAGCCAAAGGCAGGTGCTCAACTGAGCCACCCAGGTGCCCCAAGAAGAGTGTGTATTTTTCTGCTGTTGGGAGGAATATTTTGTATATTATTTGTTAGGTCTACTTGGTCTGTGGTGTTATTCACTCATAGTGATCCTCTCTTTGGATGTTCTGTTCATTATGGAAAGTGAGGTATTGAAGTCTCCTACTTTTATTGTTTTGCTGTCTATTTCTCTCCAGTTTTGTCAGTTTGCTTGCTATATTTGGATGCTTTGATGCTGGGTGTATGTATACTTATAATTGTTCTATGTTCCTGGTGTATTGACCTTTTCTTCATTATATAGTGTCCTTCTTTGTCTCTTGTGGCAATTTTTAACTTACTGTCTATTTTTGTGGCTCAGTTAGTTGAGCATCTGACTCTTGGTTTTGGCTCAGGTTGTGATCTCAGGGCCATGAGATGAAACCCCACATTGGGCTCCACACTCAGTGCAGTCTGCTTGAGATTCTCTCTCCTTTTCCCTCTGCCCTTCCCCATGCTTGCATTAAATAAATAAATAAATAAATAAATAAATAAATAAATAAATAAATAAATAAAATCTTTAAAAATATATAGTCTATTTTGTCTGAGACACCTGGCTGGCTTGGATGGTGGAGAATACGACTCTTGATCTTGGGATTGTAGGTTCAAGCCACACATTAGATGTAGAGATTGCTTAGAAATAAAATCTTTGTTTTAAGAAAACATCTTTTTTGTCTGATGTAGGTATAGCTACACCATTTCTTAGGAATCCTGCTGTTATATAAGAAATCCAATTATCCTGAGGCCACTGTGCTAGGGTAGCCAGGTATAAATGCTCTAGTTAGCAGTCTCCACTTAGCCTGGTTTTCTAGCCAAAATACTAGACATGTGTGTAAAGCCATTTTGGACCCCAAAGACTACTCCATCTGCCAGATGAATGCCAAATTGTCCTCCACGATACTTCATGGAACAGATTTCTCCAGCCGAGTCATGCTTAAATTCATGACCCACAAATTTGTTTTGTGGTCGTTTGTTACATAGCAATCACTAGCCAGAACAAGAACTGTTGTTGCCATTTTAGCCCAGCTTTTGGGCAAATTAAACACAATTGTGGAGTAATT